TTTTGAAGAGGCTCCACTGACAGATGGGGGAACTGCAACTGACTATACAATCGATGCCCCGGCTCTTAGGGTGGATGAACTGGAGGCGATAACGCATAACTTTGGTTCCGAATCATTCACTGGGGAGGGATCACATGGAGTAGTGTATCATGGTGTTCTTGGAAATGGAAGAACAGCGGCACTGAAGAAGTCAGATTCCACTGAGCTACCAGACCATGAGTTTTTAGCTCAGGTTTATGCTGATACATAGTATTGCGACATGACTTATGTTCAGTTTCGCAGATTTCCAGTATAATTTGTTCTTAGGTCACGATCTTCTTTGCAGGTTGCCATGGTTTCAAGAGTGAAGCATGAGAAGTTTAACGAGCTTCTTGGTTACTGTGTTGACGGTGCTCTCCGTGTTCTTGCATATGAGTACGCTCCTCATGGATCGCTTCACGATGTTCTTCACAGTGAAAAACATCATTGTCAGGTATTCGTTTATTGTTATGTTGCTTTCTTTTTCTGACTTAAGTCTGCCGTAAGATTTCTAGGGCAGGGAAATGGGACAGGTGCGCAGAGATTTCTAGGTTCGGTCCTGTCCTGGACGCAGAGAGTTAAAATTGCCATTGGGGTGGCGAGAGGGCTTGAATATTTGCACAAGATTGCGCAGCCTTGTATAATTCATAGTGATATCAAGTCCAGAAGAATTCTTCTTTTCGATGGATATGTTGCCAAAATTGCGGATATTGATTTTTCGAATGAAGCCCCTCTCCTGATCGCGGGTGTTCATTCCACTCATGTACTAGGGAGCTTCGGTTATCAAGCTCCGGAGTAAGCCCTTCCTCATGTCATTCTCTTTTTTCTGATCGAACTCACATCTTACTTTGCTTCGGTCCTTTTATCTGCAAATCTGATTTCCAATAAGAAAAGAAAATCGAACTCTTAGCCGTCTATTTATTTATGCTTTAGACACTAAGCCAAGACACATATTGTGGCCAAGCGAAACTTTTCCAGGCCTTACTGAAAGTGCACCTCCAACAGCAGCCTAAATGCTGTTACTCTTTCTATGCGGCAGGTACCTGATGACAGGATGGCTGGACTTGAAAAGTGTTGTATACAGCTTCGGCATTGTTCTCCTAGAACTCGTGACTGGACGTAAACCTGTCAATCATACATTGCCAAGTTGACAGCAGAGCCTTCTTGCAAGGGTAATGCCTTCACCTTCAATGCTTTTCGCATCAGCAGATTCAAGTCTGGGTTTCGACGCCTTTGAAGAATATTTTCCCATCTCGCTGTTCTGATTCCAATGCATGAACCTTGGATTCAATTAGGCATTGCCCAAACTCGGTGAAAAGGAGGTGAACCAGTGTGTCGATCTGAGCCTAAATGGAGAATATCCTCCAAAGGCAGTTGCAGAGGTAATGAGCATGGCTTTGATCTATAAGACAACCTTTTCGTTTAATGATCTGATCTTGGTTAGAAATGATACAATTGAAACGGATGCGCGGTCATTGCACTCCCAAAAGGATAAAGTTTGTAATGAGAGCTCTACACACGGATTAACTGTGCTTTCTCACAGTTTGTGACGAGCTTTCTTGCTCTATTTGTGTAGTAACAGACGGCTGCTGTAGCTGCCCAATGTGTGCAACGTGAACCCGATTTACGTCCCGACATGAGTAAAGTGGTCAAAGCTGTGCAGGCTCTTTTGAATACGCCCTCTGCCCCAGCGGCTGAAATCTAAAGCATGCGAACTACTTTTGATCCCCGAGTCTGGCTTATGCTATCTTCTAAACTTTAGTATTTTCCCAGCAATTTCTCTATGTAAAATGATGAATCGATTTATAGATCCCAGGAGTGTCCTGATGGAAGGCCTTGAATTTGAAGATATGACAGCCTTGGTTACTAAGGCATCCACTTCTCTGTGATGAATGTGGGGGCATTTTGATTCGATTATGAGTGAGAAGTCTTTACATTCCGTATCTGCTTAATCTTGCTATGGGCAGGCTCTGCAAGAACAAGCATTGCAAATCCAGGACACACCAAACTCAACTTTCCTCAAAATTCTCCAGCAAAAAGACTGTTGATCCTCTTCTTCTCTAGGAAATTGGGATTCAGTCCTACTTTTTCTTTTGTAAGTTTCATTAAATTCGACTGCAGGCGAAGTTGTGAAGCTTTAAAAAGCCACTGGAATGAGAAGGAAACACGCGAGAATCTTTGTAAATTTTCTGCTTTACTTCCACCATAAGACTGCTTAAGTGAGCAAAGGAAATTTGAGGCACCAGCAACTTTCGTTTTTCTTGGCATGAAAATGAGCTGCATGAACAGCTCCATAGCAAGTCTTGTGCTCATGATTTCTTGAAGGGTACATTGATAATACAGCAAGCAGGCTGGTGAATTTATGAGTTCTTCGCAGCCTGGCTTCGAAAGAGGATGAAGTGGAAAAGGCCCAAATATATCAAATAGGACTCGAGTTGACGAATGAGTTAAACCCTTGAGAGCAATTGGGTGAGTCATCCGCGAAGAAATCCACTTGATCTAAAGATTTGTGCGTGCATGTGCGTGTAAACGATATAATAATTTCTCCAAATAGAGAGATCAACCCCAGGGCAAATTTCTTTTTCATTTTCCGATCCTGACTACCTTTGACATTGATTCTTCTGTACTCCATATTCAATATTGTTAGACTTTGGAGCAATCGGTTTATGAAACTTTTCTCACTAGGAATTTGGACAATTTTGAGAAAGCATTAGAGGTAGTTATTGTTTTTCGGATGAATATTTCAAGAGATTTCCTGGGATGCGGCTACCAATTGTTCTAGAAGATCTGTCACATGTAAACTGGACTTTGATGTAAAATTTTGCATGAAAATAAATCGGGAAAAGTGCCATAAAAGTCCTAAACCTTTTGCATTAGTGCCAATTTAGTCCTAAACTTTTTTTAGTGCCAATTCAGTCCTAAACCTTTTGCATTGGTGCCAATTTAGTCCTAAACCTTTTTTTGGTGCCAATTCAGGCCTAAACCTTTTAAATTGGTGCCAATTCAGTCATAAATCTTTTGTTTTTGTGCCAATTTAGTCCTTTCGGTCAATTTTGACCCGAATTTGCCGACATGGACGCCTGCCGGCCGGCGACCAGTCACCGGCGCCGACGTGGACAAATTGAATAATATTTTAATTTTTTTGAATTATTATTTATTTATTTTTCACTTTTTTTTTTTGGGTTTCTCCTTCCTCTGGCCGGTCCGGCGAGCTCGACCTCGCCGGCCACTGGGGAGGGCGGCCTAGCCCGGGGAGGCCGAGCCTCGCCATGGTCGGGCGAGGCCCGACCTCGCCGGATCTGGCGAGGTCGAGCCTCGCCCAGCCGCCGGCGAGGCTCAACCTCGCCGGCCACTGGGGAGGGTAGCCTAGCCCGGCGAGGCCGAGCCTCGCCATGGTCGGGCGAGGCCCGACCTCGTCGGATTTGGCGAGGTCGAGCCTCGCCCAACCGCCGGCGAGGTCGGGCCTCGCCCGACCATGGCGAGGCTCGCCCGACCATGGCGAGGCTCGCCCGACCATGGCGAGGCTCGCCCTCACCGCGGCCTCCGGCGAGGGCTCGAGCCTAGGGCGAGCCTCGCCATGGTCGCCGGCCTCGCCGGATTTGGCGAGGTCGAGCCTCGCCCGCCCTCCCCAATGGCCGGCGAGGTCGAGCTCGCCGGGTTCTGGCCTCTGGCCAGTCGCCGGTCCGGCGACCGGCCAGAGGAAGGAGAAACCCAAAAAAAAAAGTGAAAAAAAAAGAAAAAAAGGAAAAAAATAAAAATTCAAAAAAATATTAAAATATTATTTAATATATCCACGTCAACGCCACGTCAGCGCCGACGACCAGTTGCCGGTCGGCAGGCGTCCACGTCGGCAAATTCCGATCAAAATTGACCGGAAGGACTAAATTGGCACAAAAACAAAAGGTTTAGGACTGAATTGGCACCAATTTAAAAGGTTTAGGACTGAATTGGCACCAAAAAAAGGTTTAGGACTAAATTGACACAAATGCAAAAGGTTTAGGATTGAATTGGCACAAAAAAAAGGTTTAGGACTAAATTGGCATTAATACAAAAGATTTAGGACTTTTATGGCACTTTTCCCAAAATAAATTATAAAGGAGACAAAGAAGAGATCTGAAAAGCTCCGATAATGTGTGAGAACGTCCAAACTCCAAAACTTAAACTTATAATAAAATTTTACGTGCAAGCCAGATTAGAAACGATACGTGAAATTGGACGAACGAAGGGCCTCATACTTGAAATAAACTAGGACAGAACTTGGTTTCGATAACCGTGCTAAATTTGATGGAACTACCGTCAAATGTTCTAAAAGACTAGGTTAATATACAAAAGCTTGATTTAATATTGAAATATTATAACAATTGCAGTATCTGACCACTTTCAACTTGCTTTTTATATTATGGGTTAATGCCACTAAAAATCCCAAATTGGTACACTTGTGACAATTTTACCCAAAACTAATTTTTTGACCACTAAAAACTTCAAACTGGTACATTTATGACAAATTTACCCTCCGCTAATTTCCGTTAAATTGGATTTACACTACGAAAAATCACAAACTGGTCAACAGAGAGTAAAATCCTAAACCGGTACACCCGTTAGTCATCACGTGCCATCTAATTCAGTAATTTGATATTAAAATTTAATGGAAACTGACGGAGAACAAACTTGGTCCGGGAATCTACTCATGGCAACACAACGTTAGGACCTGCATGAAGATGTCTGTAGCATGGCCGGGGCCCATGTGAAAATACACAGAAGGAAAAATCCCGTGGCCAAATCGCGATATTTATCGAATGTGGGGGACTAGAAATCATATTAGCACGGTTTCGCAGAAGGAGCCCCCTTGCTATATAAAGTACGACGGAGTGATCTCCTCGCGTTTCGGCTTCATCCGAGAAAGAAAGAGAGAGACAGAGACAGGGAGACGAAGACGAAGACGAAGAAAAGTATCCGCGGTCGTCGCCCTAAGGACACCCAACCTGCGAAATCAGGGTAACTCTCTCCCGAGAATCATCTCTCCCAGCTTGATTTGACTCGTCCCTTTGCGAGTTCCTGATCGCCGTTTCCTTAATCGGATCGAGATCCGAAAGACAGGGAAGCTTCTTGCTCCCGGAGCCGTGTAGATTTCCGCCGGTCTCTTTTTGGCTCCACGCATTCGAGATTGTAGGAAGAAACGGTCGATTCGCTCGTGGGTTGTTGTTTCCTTGTGCGTAGGAGCATGCGTTACGTGTGATGACGAGGCCCCCGCGTGTTTGGTCGGTAGTTTCTTGATTGAATTCGATTCGGTTTCGGCCAATCTTGGATAGATACGACGGTTCCTTCGGTTTGGGTTTTGGTTGCATTGTCGGGGGGCCATGGTTTCCTTGCATGCGCTGCTCGACGAGCCCGGCGGCGTTCCCTTTCATAGAAAGAGGCTGAGGGTATTGAATTCCGAGCATAGGTATGTAGATTCACGCGCGTGTGTGGGCAGTTACGGCGGTCCTGTTTCTCAGGGAGAGCACACGTCAGAGGGGCGCGACTCATTTCGCGGGTACTTTTGCTTTCTTCTCTTGCCATTATCCTGCTTGTTGTTTTATTTGCTTCGCTCGGTTCTTATGGTGTATTTTACGTGTTAGGTGCTGGAGTGACAATCATTGCACTTCATCTTGCTGTGATGTGGAGGAAGAAATCGGTGCAAACTCTGCGACGGAGTCCACCTTCCAGTCGAATAGCAAGAATGATGATACCTTTGCATCGTGTAATACTGGGGTTGCATCGTACACGAATAAGAGTCATGCAGTGCATGCACAAAATGCTTTTGTCAGTGGGTGGATGTACATGAACGAACAGGGGCAGATGTGTGGTCCTTATATCCAACAGCAGTTGTTTGAGGGTTTATCTACTGGTTTCTTACCCGAAGACCTTCTTGTGTACCCGGTGTTGAATGGATCATTGATGAGCGCTGTACCCTTGAAATATTTCAAGCAGTTTCCTGACCACATTGCTTCTGGATTTGTTTACTTATCCACTAATCCATGCACAACTATGATGCCAAATTCCCTAACTTCTCCAACCAAAGGTTCCCTTATACACGAACAAGAAGGTTTTTCTGGTCATAGTAACTTAAGTTTTCAGGTTCAACCCCAAATTTCTATCGACCACAGTAATTCTGTTAGCCAGGTGGTAGCAAATTCCGGAATAGCTACTCCAGCTGCATCGTTCTCGGAGCTGGTATTGTTTCCTTTCATCTTGTCCTTTTTCTTTATTCTGCACCCGTGTTTCTCTAGACGAAAGTCATGTTGATGTGAGTTTTTTGGGGCACTTGACTTTCATGCAGACAAATAACTGGCTATGGTTTTTACATGTGCTTGCTTCTTTCCTTTCTAGGATAGTGAGGGTCCTTGTTGGCTGTTGGAAGATGACGGAGGGAGGAAGCATGGGCCACACCATCTTTCAGAATTATATGCTTGGCATTTTCATGGATATCTGCAGGGTTCTTCAATGGTAAACCATTCCTCTGAAATTCATCAAACTGTTTCATGTCATGAATCTAATCTTGGGAAGACCATTAGGATTGTCATGATGAGTTGTGTATTGCCGATGTATGTTTGATGCATTGTCATGAACGAGTCGCCGTCCGTCGAGATCTACTTCCCTCATGTATAATAATTTTCTTGCATGACATTTAATATGCCCGGATCCCATTCCTCACTGGATAGGCACGGTTGGCTTCAAAGCAGGTCACATAGGCATGGTATGAATGAAATTATGGGTGGGCTTGGTAATATTCTTGTGGTATTGGGCCTGGACAGAGTGCTATAGGAAAACATGAAAAATGGTGATTGATGCATTTGATAAAATGTGGGAATAAAACAGCCATCTACCAGAAACATCTCTCTCTCTCTCTCTCTCTCTCTCTCTCTCTCTCTCTCTCTCTCCACACTGACTGGAGAGCCTTCTGATCTTAAATGGGGCAATTCTGATGGAATGCTCGGGAAAACAAATGGACCTGTAGACCTAATTAATTTTTTTGGACCCAAGTGGCTTTGGATGATTGTTTAAGCGCCGAAATAATGTCCAAGTGATATGATGTTCTTGATAGAGAGGTCTGAGCATTTAAGTTTGAAATTTGTTTGCTGCTGCTAGCCTATTGCTGGTATTACACACGTGGATGGAGAAAGGGAAGAATTGCATATGTCAATTTCCTGAGGGATTTCTCTAGTTAATGACAATTTCTGTGAGATGCATGCATGTAGTGTTTTTTGAGCACTTTAATTTTTTCTATAACTGTCGAGTCAGGCACAAATTTCCTTTTTCATAGGAGAAACTACTTGCTGTTGGGTTTTGGCTGTTCATGCCGTCCCTCATGCACAGACTACATTACTTTATTAAACAAGTCCAGGCATCATTGATGCTCAGCTGTTTAGTATGTGAGCAGAGATTCAAGTTGGATTATGTTGTCTGTATTTCAATGTTGTGATTAACATTCTCACTAGGATCAGCACGTGGGGATCAAAATTCATTCTTTATTCTGGTTGGGTTCTGATTTTGGAGCGTGCTTTCATGATTTCTCAATTCTTCCCCTTCCCCCTCTCTTTGCAGTATCTTAATTTTAATTTTCATATGATGTTGTCATTCAAAGTAGCCTTTTTACTTCTCTTGCCAGGTATATCATATCAACAATAAGTTTAAATGCTCTTTGCTATCCGTCATTAATGCTTGGAAAGCAGAGGGATGTGGTGGTGATAACTCATCTAATGCTCAAGTTGGCGAGAGTAACTCTGCCCTAAGCTTCACATCAGATATTTCCGAAACATTTTCTTTGCAATTGCATGGTGGTGTCATGAAATCTGCTCGAAGAGTAGTGCTGGATGAGATCATCAGTAATATTATTGCAGATACTGCAAATATGAAGAAAGTGCAAAGAAATCTTAAGCTTGAGTCATCAAATCAAGCCAAAGGAACTCACCTCCTTGATGTTGAGAAGGTAAAGCATACAAATAGTAATTTTTGTTCAATGTTCTTCACCGAATCATATTCTGATACTTTATCCATTTTATTGGCAGCCTGAAATTTTTAATCAGAGCGTATGTTCCGTGGAACCCAATTGTGGGCTCGGAGTCTGGGGAAATATTTCTGATCAGAAATGTACTGAAGTTCCTGCACAATCTTCCGCTTGTGATTGTGAGTTAGGTGCCTTTGGCAATATATCTGATCGAAGTTGCATTGCTGAAGTTCCTGCACATTCTCCTAGGATGGTCAAATCTGTTGGAGGCATTGAGAATTTTAATGCTTCATGCTCAGTTGTATGCGGAATGCTTTCCAAGTATTGCATGGAAGTGGCCTGGAATGGTATCTTTTACAATACCATAGCAGATTATGCCACTGCTTGGAGGAGGCAAACGATCTGGTTCGGTCAACCGAGGTTGGCCTTCCCTGGCTGCAAGGGCGACGAACTTATGACTGTAAATGTACATCCGTCAGAATCTTTCGTAGGGTTTATTAGTCTCATCATTGTTCTTGCATAACATTCTTGTTTTGTTGTTTCAGCGGGCCCTCTCTGAATTGCCAGCTTTGGAACGAGATGCTGATTGCCCTCCGGGTTTTGAGTCTCTGAATATAGACACAGATGGACGGCCTTTTCTTGTTCGTTCTGCTTTACGAGGGGAAAGTTCATCTGAACATGGGAGCTTTGTTGAAGCAACTAATTGTGTCCGAGAAAGTGTTGAGAGAGAACTGCATGCGTATGCAAAGGATTCTTTGGTTGAATATGCCAGATATTTTATAGAGGAGGAGGTCAGCAAACTAGATAGGTTGTCAGAAAATGACATATTTCATGAGGTTGGTATAATCATTAGGTTGTCTTCAGAGTCAAGTTCCTCTCTTTTATCGAGTTTTTTGGGCTGCAATGTCGGTGCAAAGCTTGTTATATTACAGTTTTGCCAGTTTATGATTTTTCATGATCTTATATGCTGCAACTGATTATAAATTGACTTCATTGCAGGAAAATGTTGAGACTTCATTTGAGTTGCATCGTGAATCAGGTTCTTCTGACTTGCCTATTGATTCAAGGTCTGATAATGTGTTGATGACTGCTGAATGTTCTCAAACTCCATTGGAAGCAGTTACAAGCTTTCCTGAAACCTCGATGGACAATGTTTCTCGCATCTTGGGTCGTATTTTCACAGAACTGTGCACAGAATTGGGTAATGTGGTTGTCGGCGAAGAAATAGACGAGCCTCCGCCCCCTGGACTTGATGGCAGTATTAAAACTTCCTTTCCATCTGGTCTATGTAAATTCCGGCCTGTAGAGTCCAAGGAGTGTATGCCTCCGAGGGCAGAATATATTTCCATGGCAATGTGCAGGCAAAAGTTGTATGATGAGGTGCTGGGCGAATGGAAATTGTTTTTCCATGGTTCTCTTCAGCAATTTGTTATATCCTGGCATGATTCAAAGAATCTTAGATTTGATAAGGTATATACGAATTTATCAGGTGTCATATCTTGAATTGTTTGACTGATTTGCTGAATTTCTCTTCCACGTTTTGGCAGCAATTGCATAAAATCCTTTCATGAACATATATTAAGGTTTTCTACTATCCTTATTGAGAGGGGTAAGGGTTTGAAATTCTTTCTCTTCACGAATTACGCTTGTATTTTTTGCAGGACACATCTTCTAAAGTATATAGGGAATGTGCTAAAGATAAATCTGCTGCAATTTGCACATCAGAAGATGGTTCAAAGTCTATCCAGCACCCTGGCTATTGTAAAAGGCAGTCACTTTCTGGCCAGTATACATATTTCCGGAAAAAAAAACAAGTAAAGAAAAAAGTCAGCTTATCTTCTCAATCTGCGACCATTTCTGTTGCTGGTTTAATGAATCTACAAGCGGAAAAGTCGAGGAAAGAGGAGTTCTCCAAGACTACAACTGTGGTTCCCAAAAAGAGAAGGCTTACTAAAGGGCAGACTGAATCATCTGCTTGTTCAAGGTCGTTTCAAGCTACTTTGAAGAGAGGCTTGCCTAGTAAGAGCATACCAGAGAAGACTTCAAGATTTAAAAAAATCAAGGCGTCTGAGACCTTTAAAGGTTCAGCTCTTAATGTGTTAATATATGTATACAAAAACATGCTTACATGTACATGTATGATATGTAAATTATCTCGTGATCACTCTTTAATATGTCCTTTATGTTTTTGTTATGTAGAGGGCGGGGCTTCAGAGGTTGGTATAAAACCTAAGAAAACAAAAGTCGTAAGTCAGCCACAGGAACTTGAAGATAGAGCAAACATAAATGTCAATGGGTTTAGGACCAAAAGAGCTACCTCAACAAATTATTCTAAGAAGATTCAGAAACGTTGGTATCTCTACAGCAATTGTCGTTTCTTTCTTCCACATTTGTTTTCTACACTCTCACATTGATAATTTCTTCCTGTATTAGTGGAAAAGGTATCGTCAAAAATTAAAAAGAAGCAGGTGATTGATCGTTACTTGCCCCATCCTGAAGAGGTCTCGGTGCCAAATGGTGTCTCAAAGAAATCACAGCGGAGACAGGATGTGTCACAAAAGTCCAAGTCCAGTAAGTCCAAGACATGTAAGCCTTGCCCTATTTCTAATGGATGTGCACGATCTTCAATTAATGGGTGGGAATGGCATAAATGGTCAATGAAAGCAAGCCCTGCTCAAAAAGCTCGTAGTAGGGGAGTGCAACATATTCAATCGAAGAAAACAGGCTCCCAAGTTAACACGATTCAGTGGTCAAATAATAAGGGTATATCTGCAAGAACAAACAGGGTGAAGATGCGGAATCTTCTTGCTGCTGTGGATGGTGCTGATCTTCTTAAAGCCTCTCAATTAAAGGTGGCGAAGAGAGAATTATCCCTTGCTGTATCATATTGTGTTCTTTATTATTTACAATGTGCATGCTGGTATTTTCAGGCAAGAAAGAAACGTCTGAGCTTTCAACGAAGCAGGATACATGATTGGGGTCTTATTGCCCAGGAGCCAATTGAGGCAGAGGATTTTGTCATTGAATATGTTGGTGAATTAATTCGTCCTCAGGTAATTTTTAAGACCGTTCTTGGTATCTGTTGCAGTAAATTCACTTATTTTCTTATTACATTGTTTTTTGTTGCTAATTTTTATGTGAAGTTTCTCTCTCCCTCTCTCTGTCTGTCTCGCCTCATTGCATCTGTATCTTACATCATGCGTTTGTATCTCATAGGTATCTGATATACGTGAACGGCATTACGAGAAGATGGGCATTGGCAGCAGCTATCTTTTCAGGCTGGATGATGGTTATGTGGTCAGTGAGGCCAAATTATCTTATCTTTAGATAATTAAATATGATATCTCGTTCTTTTTTATCTTTTATTTTTGCTGTTGAGGCTGTTGTCTACATCTAGTTGAAACTGATTTTCTAATACAAAACAACTTTTCACCCCCGGCCCATTTTTTTTTTTTGGTCGGACCCCCAGCCTATTTGATCTCCGTTCATTAGCACAGGTTTTTTTGTTTTTTTGGGGAAATATGTAGTTTGTAATGTAGGTCAGGTATATTTCAGATTCTGCTATTCTATTTATGTTCCTCCATTTTTCCCTCAATGTGTTGGCCTGATTGATGACTTCTTCTAGAGCTGAAATTTACAATTTTTGAATCTGCAATGTGATCCCTTCTCTGTGCAAGGAGGTTGGTTAATGCTGTTTCATCGAAATTTTGCAGGTTGATGCTACAAAGCGTGGTGGGATTGCCAGATTCATAAATCATTCTTGTGAGGTATCTCCATTTATTTTTGTAATTGTAGTATATGCATGGATGATGATGATGAGTTCCAAGACTGATAAATATATTTTTCAGCCTAATTGCTACACCAAAATCATTAGTGTAGATGGTCAGAAGAGGATTTTTATATATGCAAAGCGGCATATAGCCGCCGGTGAAGAACTTACTTACAATTACAAGTTTCCTTTGGAAGAGAATAAATGCCCTGCAACTGTGGTTCTAGTAGTTCTACATGTCTTTCTTTTCCTAATAACTTTGTTTTGCTTTGAGCATGGTACTTTTCCCTTAGAATTTGTTTATTTCATTTATATATTGGCTTTAGCTTTAGAGGACTTGTGGGCTAGGAAGCATGGACACTCTTCGGGGCTTCCGTGTCAGTGTTGGACGCGTGTCACACACCAACACACGGTCAACAGGTGGTACATCTGACACGTGGTCAACGCTCCAAGTCCAACATTTCGACACGCATGGTGGCCAATTTTAAACATATTCAATAAATTAGGGGTCAAAACGTAAAATCATTCTAGGCTCTTTTTTATTATTTATTTATTTGTGGATTTGAACTAAATTAATTTGATTGAAATAATCGTAAAAATGATAATTTATCATGTATATATAAAAATATATAGTTAATATACAACATGTCCCAACGTGTCGGAATTTTCTATTTATTGAGAAATGACTTGTTGTCGCGTTGTGCCGTGTCGTGTCGTGTCGTGTCGCGTGTCAGTGTCGGTGCTACTTAGCTTGTGGGGCTGCTGTTTTAGTGAACTCATATGCGTATAATCCATTTTTTAGTTGAAACACAATAGAGATATGGATTAGAAAGCTCATGCTCTCCACAGTTCTGAACTTTGAAACTAATATCGTGGTGTTGACTTTGTGACCTTATTTCCTCTGTCCAGGTGTCGTGGATCATTGAATTAAGAACTGTTCAGAGTTGCTATCTGTGGTATGTCTCACATATTTTCTTGACGATGTTGTTCATATGCAAGCAATTTAATTGCCTTACCTTGTCCTGAATTCTGTCAGGTCTGTCTCATCGGCTCCCTTTCGAGTTCACATGGACATGGCTTGCTTTCTTCACATTGTACGGTCAGATACTAATTTATACCAAAGTTGTGTGTATGCCATCTTTTTCATGCTTCTATCTTTTCTCTGGCTTGTATTTCATGATCCTTAACATCTTGTCTTGTTCTATTAAGAGATGCTTGGTTAGTTGGAAAAATATTATTCTTTTTGCTCTTTTTGTGTTTCATGATCCTTAATATCCATTCGTTATGTTGAAAATATCTTTTTTTTTAGATTACTTTTCTGCATTGGGTTGGGGGAGCCATTTTGTTTCTAATTACTGGTTACTATTCTTTTATATGTTGGCTGAGCTTGGGGAACTTAGGCCAATGAAAAGAAATGGCTGAGCTTATCCATTTTGTTTCACTGAAAATACTCATTTCTAATCTCTCGAAGCTTTAATGGAGATGGTCAAAAGGATCTGTGTATAAAGTAGAAGCCACCTTGCAGTATGTGATCAAACCATTTTTTAAGATTATCTCTTGTAGTATTTTTGTTTTTAAGGGGACTCGACTTTCATGTTTTTCAGAAAATAATATAAATATGCATTTTATATCCCGAAAAAATTAATCAGCGTAATCTTTGTATTTTTCTATGGCATTGCTGATCCAAGCTTTTGACTCAGGTCACAGACGCAATTGCTGACGAAGGGCGAATGACGTGATCATGGTGATTCTTCTTACAGTGACATTCTTGCTTAGATTTGAAAAATAAATATTTAATTCCTGTCCGTCCTTGTAGATATTTTTGTGCGGCAGATGAGTTTCACCTTGTAGACACTGTAAATTGGTATATACTCTTATAGATGGATCTCTATTTTTTGTACAAACACGCCTTTTATATATTGCTATAAGAAAGATGAATGTGACGAATGATGGAAATACACTGGTAACTTATAAACTCAAAGCAAGTGCTCCTCTTTGATCTTCTGTTTGACGATAATTGACAAAATTTCATGATGGTATTAGTTTCTGTATTATTATTTTTTTGGTCGAAGAATCATTATTTGATGAGTGGCGTATTGAAGAGATGCAATCAGTTATATTATTGCACTTGCGATCCAGAGAGATGGATCCTATTGTCAATCGTGAATTTTCTAACGGTGCCATAATAATGTGATGGGAGGAAGAAACTACTGAATCTGTTGTGATTAGTTATTTTTCGGTTGGTTGTTACTTCCATGAATCCTCCAAGGACATGCTACATGCATATACATGGGCACATATCAAGAGGCTTTGGTTTGAGAGGGATGGCCGGTCAGCTTGACAGATGAAAGTTTCAGGCAAATTTGAAACCAACATTTTAGGGTCATGAGTGGGGTAGTATCAATGACTAGGTGAACATAGACCTAATATTTTCCCCTTGTCATGCCTTCTGGCTAAGATCTTTGTGCGAGTTCTGTTGAGAATATGTTTGATTTTGGCGACCAAATTTTTAGATATCTGGTAGCCTATGTTAATGTTCTGTGAGATTTGTGCGTTAAGTCAAGCTTAATAGTATTATTGGTAGTAGAAGACTTTTAAACCATGCTCTGGGGGTTGGGGTGATGTTTATTTGCCTTCTTCTAATCATATTTTCACTTTGGACTTGTGATTTTTCATTCAAACTAAATGTTTTGTGAGTTGTTAATTATCTTCCTTCTTTATTTTTAATTTTGTATGGCTGCAGGTGTAAGTCGATTTAGGATTAAGTGCCGAGGGTCAGAGTTCTATTGATGTCTTCTGGGTATGTATACTGTCTGCTCCACCTCCGCATCCTCATCCTTTGACATGAACGCAGGTGTGTTTCCTTTCAGTGCCATGCTCTGTTGGGTTGTCTTGATGGTAAAACATAGTTCCCCATAAAAAAACCGCGAAGCAAAACTTTTAAGGGGAAAAGGAAAAAGGTTGTGTGATTGATCTAACTTGGCCTCTCGGTTCAGAGCCTTGAAGAGGAAATAAGGAAGGAGGCGGAAACAAACGTACGATGTTGCTTAGTGGCACGGAGACGGTCAAGATGGCGCGAGATCGGAGATTTTTGGGTTTGTTTTATAAGAGAAAATACTTGAATCGGACTGACTCCATTTTCAGGGATGAAACTTAGCATGACGATAGGCTAAATTGTCATTATCCATGGAAGTCCCATAAGGGAAGGGTAAGGCACGTATGGTCAAAATCCTGAAATCCCACTGTCCTTTCACTATCAAACTATTGAAAATAAATGCAAGTGGGTTTTCATCAAATTTGCTTGAGCGTGTGAGATGGGAGAGTGCGTTCTAAAAGTCAAAATGAGATGTTCCCCTCCTGAAATTTTTTTTGGAAGACGACATATTTATGTTTAAGATCTATGGATGTTCAGGTGTAACTTAATGGTGTCCGGTTGATTAGTAGCTTTTGGCAGTATCCCATCAACCACAATTAGTGTAATTTCTCCGGCAACTGCTTTCCTAAGCTGGAGTTTTGTATCCAGAGGAACGAATATTTGGCATTAGACTCGATTGATAAGTGGTGCATTGGACCAAGCATTTAGATTATAATGTTGATCGACCGCAATCGATCAAAGAGGTGCTCGTAAAATCCATTCTTGTGGCATCTAGTGGTGACCTTCCATCATCAATTGGACTCGAGTTCCTTTCTTTTCATTTCCCCCTCCGCTTATCCAAGAAAAGATTGGTCGATACCGTTCCCTGGAAAGAGACTTTTTTAAGAAGATATCCTTGACTCCTGGAGTGTTTTTCTCACATTGGAACTTCGGCTCTGGGAGCAATTCAACAATAAATTTCAAATTTTCAAAACAGAAACATACTGGGGCTTAAAAAACATGTGACAAAAAAAAAATGTTCCCTAGGGTTGGTCTTGTTGCCTTGGTTTGGGAGTTGTAATTCTTCCGTTCTCGTGCAGACTTGCTTCCTGTCCGTACTTGAGAATCTGATGAGCCCTATGAAGGTAGTCCGACAGGTTTCTAGGGACTCAAGCTTAGTTTACATTGCATGGTCACTTGGATCCAGTATAAGTCTTGAATTTCCTAAAGATAATGTGTGATATAATCTTTTTCTACCTTTGGGAAATGATGAGGATTTGCTTACTGAATGTGCTGGGGTCGATGTTTTGTACATCCATCCCACATGAGGTATTGCTAGGATTGTCAAAATGGGTCTTAAACCCATATAGTATTGCCTTGGGGACTTACTGTCTTGTTAATTATCCGCATGTGAGGCGCGGGAAACTGCAGTGACTTGTGGGGATTGGTCGGGTGCTCTAGATGCCCAAGTACCCAAAGATAAGAAGGTAGCGTGGGTGGATGAGCAAGGAACAATGATTTAGGTTGCATAAAAGAAGGGGTCAAGTTCATGATTTTTGGACTAGCGGGTTGGTTTTGGTGTTGTTGGTCGGTTGTTGCCGCTTACGTCTGTGTTTTCAGTGTAAGTAACTCCGCCTGTGTTGTTCGATGTTTACACAGCCGGTCCCAAGCCCGGACAAAGGAGGAGGGTGTGTCAAAGGATTTACGTTTTTGTAGAGTCTTGCCAATATGATATCAATGTGATACATGCTTAATTGGCCATAGGAAAGCTTGAATTCGTCACACGGTTTCCCCTAGATATAATTCAGCTTATGGCGAAAAAGAAGATAAAAATGAGAGAGAGACCCTAGGTTTTTTAGTTCATGGGCCTACACGAACCGTGATTTTCATTCATTCATCAAGTCTCTCTCTGTATCTCATGACCACATTATCATCCTTTAGCATACAAATGAGTCATTGCATGTGCACGATACTTTAACGGGACCGTCCCGACTCAAATCACAAATTTCGTGTGCTTCAAAGCTCTAAGGGCGTGCATTCTGTTCTAATATCTACTTAGCATTTGATTTCCATCTTTTTGTACGTACATGTACATGTGCATGTGTTACCATAATCAATTGTGGAATCCTAGATGAGAAGAGTCCGATAGGTTTTTTTCTCCAGTCCTCCTAGCCCTCCAAATCAGAATTTCAAGAGCTCGGGTCTCCAAAATCACGACATTAACGCGACACGACTTGGGTGCGGGTCGATAATCGGGAAAATTTACTCGGTGCAGTGGCCTTTATCTTCTAAAAGGAGCATTCTTCTTTGGTTTAGTCTAGTATTGACTTCCCACGATCAATGCAGGTCAATTCCAAATTCTATGCTTGGGTTATATGGTGCATACTAATCCTTAGGTCAAGTAGGTCACAAGGGGAGATCCATGTGGTCCTATGGTTCTTCAGGTGCTTCGAGCATGCATGTAGTACTACTTATTAGACCAAGTAGCTTCTCCAATTCTAGCTTCCAAGAGAGGTTCGTCAGTGCAATTGCTTTTGCTTTTCTTCTTCCTCCCTTAGGTCAATCTAGCATAGCTGACTAAGCATGGTTCTAGGAGAGGCTTCACGATGTTGTAATTGTCATAATTGTAATGCTGACGTCATGCCTGTGATACGTAAAAACCCTGAACGTGTTGCTTGGTTTGCTGGGATGATGTCGACGGATTCTCAATGCGGTACACCAATGCCCCGAACTGCTATGGCATTGGCATTGTTCGCGCTCGATTCGTTCACACGTATCGGTTGTGTGAGTACTTATAAAGATTTTTGTGAGTTGCTTGCCCTTTTAATGCTATTGATGATCGATTAAATATCGATTCAACAGAAAACCACCAAATAGATCAGGAAAGAATACTTAGGAATTGGAAATGAGGGGTCGATGCAGTTTCATGCACGCGAACTCATTCTCCTCGACCCAATAGCTGTCATGTTGTGTCGTTGATGTCGAGAACTCACGACAGACGTGAAATCTCAGCCAAAATATATAGCTTTGATAAGTTGAAAAGCTCGAAATGAGTTCTATGTTACCAGCAAATTTCCAGGGTAATGAAAGGTGGCAGTAAAATGTTAGAAGTGAGGCTCTGAAACGAACGATAGTACCTCTGCATTGCACAATACTGGAGAACATAGCCTAAACATTGTGAAGAAGTTACTATGCGAACACAGCCTCACAGGAGAAAGAAATATCCACGTTTTCAACCATTAAGTCTGCATAAACTATCCTTCGTTTTCAATACCAAGCTCTCTTTTTCCTCGAGAAAGTCGAACAGATGCACCTTTCAAAACATCGAAAACGCATGCTATACAATAGTAATTGCCTTTATTGGTGATGTGCAATACTACCTAGCCTCTAGATCATTTCTCGAAAGTCGTCGTCTGCAAAAGGAAAAGAAGAAGAACGTCGCATGATTGGCGTGTGATCCTGGCCCTCATTTCCTTTTCTTTTTATGGATCTTGTTAACGGATACCTCGAAATACTTTTTAAGCATGCTTAAAAGGGAAAATTTTCAGTTTCTGCGACGTTAATTTTACATGCTCGAGAGAAAATCGTTTTACAGGGGATTGCAAACTTACTTTCAAATGGCTTGACGAGTCAACCTGAGATTTTTTTTTTGGTTGTGTTTTTTGGGAGCCAAAGTTGATCATGTTTGAGTGTCCCCATTCCATGAGCATGCAAGTACTTTGAGCCATGAACGCACATGTCTCTGCCGAATTGGATGGATTTGTCCCCTCCACAATTTTCCTTGAGAGGATTCTATATGAATATCCTATTGCCTTTACCTTTCCCCATCTTTGACCATCCGGATTGTGATCCCTAAAAGCAATGAAAAACGAATTGTGGACAATACATCCCCACTCCAATAATTCATTCTGTAAAATTGTCTTATCGGCAAATTCGCATCTACAGTTTCCCCACCATAGATCGACCGAACCCGAGTCACAAGATACGCGCACCACAGCAGACGCAGCAATTCCGAATCGCTCTAGCCCAGCCGAGATCTCCACATCCTCGCGATCGCCGTGGGCTTCTCCCCGCCCCCACCTTGACCAAGGGAGGAAAAAGTTCGAGGAACCGGGGAGGGGAGGGGAGGGCGGCACGCACGATACATGAACTCGGAACGCACGAATCTCCTTCTTTTTAGGCTTTTTCCCTAATGAACTTTCTATCCGTTTATACATGGAAAGCAGCCGCTTTATTCAGTGGGCTGTCATCCTTTTTGACATATTTGTGCCACTTTTTTTGCCCCCTAGTCGAGAAGACAGATTGCACTGTTGAGGTTGCCGTATTTTGTACACTTACACATGTAGCAATGCACATGTACATGTGAGCTTCAGCACTTAAAATAACGTAGATTGAACAAGGATTGCTAGCTGCACATGATCTTGAGCCCCTGGCTGATCCCATGTTCTGGTCCCACCCCAGTTCCCCCACCGCCTGGAATAAAAAAAAATCAGCAGATTTCTTTGATATTTATCGAGTATTATCAATATAAAAAGAGGAGCAAAAGTCATAAAAAAAATCCTAAACTATGCACACTGTAATACATTTATCCTAAACTTCTTTTGGTAACACCCAAAATCTCAAATTTGTATCCATGTGACACGTTTACCTTCTGTGAAAGTCTTGTCACGGGAGCCGTTAGAAATTTGTCTACATAAATGCTAGAAAGCGAAAATTAACAATGTTTTGTTAGAAAAATCCTTTGATGGAACCTTAAATAAGAATAAATATGTCACTTAGGTAAAAATTTGATGTTTTTTATGTCACAAGAAAACGTTTAAGGTGAATGTGTCACGGTGGCTATAGTTCGAGATCTTTGATGTCACCAAAAAAAATAATTCAGGATAAACGCGTGATGGTAGATATAATTTGAGGTTTATTTTCGTGGCTTTTTCCCCCAAAAAAAATACGATTTCCAAAAATGCCGTCGCGTGAAATTTTTTTTTAATTTTTTGTCGAGCGAGCGCGCGCACCACTTTTCTCAATCTCCATAAAAATCACCAAAAAAAAAAAAGCAAAACGCAAAAGACAAAAAAATATAATAATAATAAAAAAGAGATTAAAGGAAAACGAAAGAAGCATAGGAAAAAGCATTTCTCTCTCTTCTCTCTCTCTCTCCATCTTTTCCTTTTCCCCAAGTCACACTCACTTCAATCCCTTTCTCACTTTTGTCTCTCTCTCTATCTCACTATTATTATTATTTATTATCCATTATTATTATTTAAAATTCCCATTAAATACCTGAAAATGCCACTTATTTTAAATAATCTCCCCCCTCATATACATATATATAATATCTCTCTCTCTCTCCCCCTCACTAGCAGGCGCAAAATCTCCACTGGTGTCAGCTTCTTCTCCTCCTTCTTCTTCTTCCACCGGATAGATCCTTCGCGAGCGAGACGTGGAATCTGCGCGTTAAACGATCTCTCTCTCTCTCTCTCTCTCTCTCGCTCGCCCTGAGCGCGCCCGAAATGGCGATCGTACGCTCCCCGTAGGAGCGGCGGCCGGCTCTCGCGTTCCGCGGCGGACGATGCCGTGACCGGCCGGAAGAGAGGGGTCGCGCGCTCTCCCGCATCGCGCCAATCGCTCCGGCGACCGAGCGAGGTTTTTGCCGAGTTTCCGGCGAGGCTTGGTGGGGTTTCGAGTGAGGCGGTGGCGAGCTTGCATGGGATCGGAGCAGAACCGGTTCCCTCTCCAGCAGCTGCGACCGGAGCCGGTGAGTGAGCCTCGTCCTCCGCGTCGTAGATATGAGCTGAGCGATTTCGGTTGTGGTTGTTGTTGTTGTTGTTGTTGTGTGTCTTTTTTCCCCGCGGCGTTGTTCGGCGTCCGCGTTGGTGTTCGTGTTTTTTTGTTTCGGATCTGATCTGAGCGAGCTTTTGAGTGAGTTGACGCTGTGAGTCAGATCTAGTGTGTGATGGAATTTAAGTCTGTGAGGGAGCTGGATGGTCTAGAAGTAGGAAGGATCAGAGTCGATCGAGCTCTGATGGAGTCGTTTACGTGCTGAGCACGTGGAGTACTGGTTGTGAACCTGGACCTTAAATCTATCTGATCCTCAATTTTGATGTACGTCTGGGCTGCCTTCTGTTATCGATGAGCTTATGTGCTAGAAATTCAGCGGAAATAAGGGTGGGAGAGATCAGTGCTTATCTACATTTGCTTTTTAAGCCGTTGTTTGCATTTTTGTTGTTGAGAGCTAGAGATGATCTTGATCTAACAGCCAACAGCCGTCTTTTGAGACTAGCGGCATTGTCGAGTGATTTCGGACGGTTGGGCCACTTAATGGAGGGATATAGGACATGGCTTTTGATTCTCAGGTAGGTTCAGCCATTGTTTGCAAGGGTGGACCCCTCGGAATCTCACTATTCTTGTGGTCTGCTGTATAATGTCAAGCCCACCAAACAATCCTTGAGCATGTGTAGTGCAGAATGTTGTTGTAACTAGAGGATGATGGATTTGTTTAGTGAAGAGTGGCAGTCTACTTTGTTTGAGGAGAATCTAAGACAAAATATGCTCGGTCAAATGATACTTGTGGGACTTCAATTAGAGTGTATGGAGGATGGATTAAGCAGTGAGGCAATGTTAGAAGCTTAGTTGCATCCTTTCACAGTGCTCATCCTTTTGCATCCGTGTTTTTTTTATTCCGGTGTCCTTTTACTGGATGATTTTATCTCATCTCTTATCAGCAGCATAGCTAGCGTAAATAATGCTCAAATTGACCCAAAAATCATATAATCTGCACAAGCTATTTAGTCTCAAATATGCAATAAGGCATTAGTGCTAGTCTGTTGGTTTTCCACATGGAGATGCAGGCGGCGGATGCTTGGGACCTTAGGTCAGATTGTGGTAAGTTTGCCATACCAGATTGAAGTACTGGATAAAAATGAGTAATTCCAAGAGTTTTTGTCTTTTGGCTGGTTGGTTCCAAGATTTAAGATATAGATGTTTTAGGGATCCCGAAGTACATCTGCTATGTTCACAACAAACCATCTTCATCATGTTCATGCCATTGTCATCAATATGACTTATTGTGTTAGGTTTCTCGATTGAGAACGGGAACTTCTCCATCTGAATTCGGTAGCATAATCATTTCCCCATGCTCTTATTTTAAACGGGGAGCTTAAAATCTAGTTCCATCTAGGTTGGGTCAAGATCCATATTAATCCATGTGTGTGGTAACAGGGTGTCTCGGAGAATGGTAAAGTTAGATGAACTTCAAACGTGAGACATCCCGCAGCTAGATCTGAAATGCTTTTATGACTTATCTGCTATCTCATTCACAATATTCACGCTTTCATTTCATCTTGTTTGAATTCAGCAATGCCCCTTAACTTTCTTTAGCCACCTGTAGAGTGTGCCTTTCAATTTTTTTACCTTCAAGTTGACTTAAGGATGGCCACATCCATCTGAACTCCATGGTTAAAGCACTTGGCATGCAATATGGGATGAGACCTTGTTGAATTTAATAATGAAAAAGGAAACTGAGATCATGGCTTATCGGTTTCCTGTATCTCATCCATATTTTGATTCTAAATTTGATCTGTCAGCTGAATTCAATCTTAAAATGCTTATACTTTGGATTGACAGCGAAAGAGATGGGGTGGCTGTTGGGGTGCTTTCTCTTGTTTTGGTGCTCAGAAAGGTGGGAAGCGTATAGTTCCTGCATCTCGTATTCCCGAGGGCAATGCCTCAGCAACACAGCCAAATGGACCCCAAGCTGCTGGCTTGGCCAACCATGCTACTACCATATCTCCATCTCTTTTAGCTCCGCCTTCTTCTCCAGCATCCTTTACAACTTCTGCTCTCCCTTCGACAGCCCAGTCACCTAATAACTGTTTCCTGTCATTGTCTGCCAACTCCCCTGGTGGCCCTTCATCCACAATGTTTGCTACAGGACCATATGCCGGTGAAACACAGCTGGTTTCCCCTCCTGTTTTCTCAACTTTCACGACCGAGCCATCTACTGCTCCTCTCACTCCCCCACCAGAGTTGGCTCATTTGACTACTCCCTCTTCCCCTGATGTTCCTTATGCTCATTATTTTTCATCTGTAAAAGACATCAAATGTCGTGACAAGACCAGTTATGTTGCTTCACATGATCTCCAGGCTACATATTCGCTTTACCCTGGAAGTCCTCCCAGTGGTATGATCTCACCGATTTCAAGGATGTCTGGTGAGTGTTTACCATCATCATTCCCGGAACGTGAATATCCTTCACAGTGGGATTCATCTGTTTCCCCCCAAAGCGATCGGGGTGGTTCTGGAAGAGAATCTGGGCATAGCCCCACTGGTGCTTCTAGAAGTGATACGAATTTCTTCTGTCCAGCTACATTTGCTGAATTCTATTTGGATCCTAATCAACCACCTCATACTGGTGGGAGGTTGAGTGTTTCCAAGGATTCTGATGCCTACTCTACCGCTGGAAATGGAAATCAGAATTGGCAAAGTAGTAGAAGCCCAAAACAAGATGCAGAGGAAATTGAAGCGTACAGAGCTTCCTTTGGGTTCAGTGCAGATGAAATAATTACTACGACCAATTATGTGGAAATTGCTGATGTTACAGACGACTCATTTACAATGACACCTTTTCCCTCCAATAATCCACCCACTGAAGGATCTACACAAGCTGGACTGTATAGTGAAGGTCAAAAGGCGGACTTTCTGCCCTTCAAAAGCCTTAAAGCTGACCAGGATGTGCAACGTGATCTACTAACTTCGCATGATACTGGAAAAGGTGAGCTTCCTAACTTGTTTTAGTTGGTAATATGTTATTCCTTGCATTGCTGAAACATGATGGAATTGGAAAAGAAAATTCTGGAAAATTGTATAACTAACCACTATTTTCATTCTAGATATTTGTAGGATTTAATTGAGTCTCATGTTGCTCTTGGTGATTTTAGTTTTGTCAGTACTGTGCTTTGCAGTCACATCATACTATGATTTGAGAAGTCGGTCTTTAGAGGGCGAAGGCGCTTCAATCAAATTTGCTTGGATCTATTTCTGTAGATTGATCTACTAATATGCTTAAATTTGGGGAAATTATGAGATAAAAGGCTGGGACATCTGCACTCAAAGCATGTTCATTTGAAAGATACATTTGTCCATTGGAAGATCCTTTGAGATAATTGTGGACAATAAGGCTGGATTTGAGGATGGTCTTTATATGGAGTGTGCCAGAAATGTTTTTTTGTGCAATACCATACTTGTAGATTCTCCTGTTTGGAAGCACGCGCTATGTTTCTGAACCAGCGCCCTTCTGAAAAGCAATGTTTGTGTAGCATTCCTCCTGATCTCTATTCCTGGAGGTGCTTATTTCGTCCTCGTACTGTGCAGATCTTAACTCATGCAATGTCTCTGGATTAAGCACACCTGGTATCCATGTTCTGACTGATGATGAAGATGTATTTTCAAGGATTCATTTACCCAAGAACGGTCGTAAATATGAATTAGGCTCTTCTATGTCCGATGCGGAGATTGACTATGGAAGAGTAAGAAGCTTGAGAGAAGGCAAAGTAGGTTTCAGGCGGCATGGTTGAGCGGCTGTCAAACAAGGAGTTGGTCCTTCTGTATTTATATGCAGGTTTGTTAAAATTTCTTGTGTCTGCGGATGCTGTTAATAGGCGCAATGATGTAAGTGTAGCTGAAATCTGTCTGGTGGTTCCTGGCTTGGTCTTTCTGATAGAGTGTAATTCTCCATATTTCGTTCTTGCTTCTTCTGGACAAGTTATATATGGGAGGCATTTTACGCGTAAGCCTTAGTAAAACTTGTTTAAGGGAAGTGACCGACGTTGCAAGCATATATCAGTTAATCGTTAGATAACCTAGTTCATGGCTGAACCACTCGGTACCGAGCTTTCCTTGGTCTGCTAGTTTTGCTTGTAAATTGATGCTGTGGTTCAAGCAGCACGAGCTTGAGAAATGCATATGTTTGCTTCATAGTCAAGCTAATGCGTCACAAATTCTTCTCTATCCATCATTCTCAGCAAATTTTCCTTATTTTAACACTCAAAGTGGATTTTTGGAAGCAATCAGTCTTCACGGAGTAGAGGGCAGAAACGATCAAACGATGGCGGGCTAATATATCCTGCAAGGAATGTCATTCGTCTGTCCTTGATATTCTGAAGTGATTAGAATTAACATCAATGTGTCCTGGCCAAGAAATTGACGTTTTGTCCCGGGGACATTATTAAAGCCAGTCGTATCCCACGGTACTGGGAACAATTTCGGGGTATAAAAAATGTACGAAACCAAAGATTCGGGGCCTTTTCTGGTCAGGTATCCTTCGGTTCGGGCAATAGACAAAAATGTTCGAGTACCTTCACGGTTTGGGTTTTTGACCGGAACCAAACCGAAACACAATAAGCTAAACGCTCTCATGCACAAAAGAGAAAGAGCCCAGTTCGTTTGAGGGTGAGGGGATAATGCCCAGAGGGAAGCCATTCCAGAGGAGCAAGCTATTGGAAGCGGAGGGCTTGGCTGACAACGGCGCCATCAAGAGGGACAGGGTCGACCGGGACCAGCTTTGCAGAGCAGTTGAGGGCTTGAGGAGAGACCATGTCGACGTCCCAGAAGGTCACGTCCATGGCCGTCGTCAGGTTCGCCATTTTTAGGCAAACTCAAGTGGAAGCTAAGCATTGTGCATGGTTTGTGTGAGTACGCTATGGCTGTGTGGTGTTGTTTTCTCCCTTATTCGTGAGCGATCGGCATTGTTTTCTTTTGGAAATAAAGTGGGATGAAGGCTGGGTTTTGGAGGATTTACTCCGGGCTTTGTGAGCTTCAAGGATCTGGTCGAGTTGCTCTTCCCGTAGGTCCCCGGCCCACCGCCAATGCCTGCTTCCGCAAGCAGCTTCTTTATAGGTGGCCAGAGAATCGGCGGCCACAATGAAGGGTTTGGCTTGGAGTCGGCAAAGATGAGGTCGAGACTCAAGTGAGGGAAATGAGGTGGATCTGGCCGTTGTCAAAGACGTCGTTGGTTGAGACTGGCAAATAACCCGGGTTGAGGCAACCAAATTCGAAGTCCGAATCTCTGTTTTATTCGTCTTATTCCTTGAGCTGTGGCTTTTGCTCTAAACATCGGTTTTGGTATCAGAGCAATCGGGGTTTTGGTATCAGAGCAATCAGGCTTGGCTTTGGATCTGGAGACGTCGATGGCAAGTTGGAAATCGTCCGCCAATTTGTCAAAAGACTGGGAATTTGTGGTCGACTAGAGATGGATACGACTTGATACACTCTATTTTCTGAATAATCTATGCCCCCTGTGCAGCGAAGAAGAAAAAGGGGCAATAAAACACACACATACCAAACCGAACCGTTGTATCAAATTGGACTATATTCGGGAATCAGATCGTTTAGGGTCACAAGAAACTTTTATATACCCGACCCGACCTGACCCGACGCGAGCAGTTGGACATTGGTTCTGATGTGATATGCATATTGATTCTGCAGTCCTGTATGATTGGCTACCGGGTGGATAAATCCAAAAATTTCATCCTAAGCGGTCCATAGTCATGGAATAGAAATACCACCATTTTGGTTTCCAGGATAAGACTAAAAAATTGGCATCAAATGACCGACCAGGCAAATCAGAAAAGCATGGCAGTAAAGATGCATGATGGGAAACTTTTCCGACATATGCTCTTGTGCCTTTGAGAGGACCTTTCAATGGAATCTTAACTCAATAATAACAGTACAAAGCTATGCCACATTCTCGCTTATTGACACTTGGCAGCATGATCATCCGAGTGAATGCATCATCACCATCCACCCATGTCAAAATGCTCATTTCCAGCACACACTAAAGATCTGCCACAATAGTCATGGCAGTACAAGTCGCAAAGCGGTCATCACATTTAGCAATTGACATAAACATCAAGAAAGAACTCCATCCCTCTTTCAGTTCACTTTATACACATAAGGGCAAAAACCAATCGCTAAATCGAGCCATCTCATATTCCATTAAGGGTTACTACCACGGTCCGGGCAGTGGCAACGTCTCGATGCTCACAAAGCCATATTCCCTGAAGCATAAGAGGAGAAATGATATAAGCAATTTCATACACTTGAGGATGAAATGGAAGGCATGATTTCGAGGGAAAAATTACTGAACACAACCTGCCAGGTTCCCATGTTAAGCTTCCCATTTGTAATTGGAATCCTGTACAAGAATGAACATGGTTAATACAAGAATCACATAAACATAGCAGTCCCCTTAGAGCTACGGAAACAAGTCATCTTACGTGAGGGTACAGCCAAACATGGAAGATTTTATATGAGCTGGCATGTCATCAGGACCTGCACAAGGTCCAGAGTCCAATGTCAAAATATTCTCGTTTCCGAACACAGAAAGAACCAAGCGGCAAGATTCTAAATGAAACTAGTAGTTGGCCATATGTACTCAATGGAATAAGATATACAAAGTGCCATGTGGAAAGACAAAGTGAAGAGCACCAGAAACCATCAAGGGTGAAAATGATAAGAAACAAGCTGAAGCCAATACAGTGACTTCCTCGCTTCATTAAGACGAAAAACATACTCAATCATAAGTCAACAAAGTGTTAACAAGTTGAGAGTGTCTTGTCACTCTTAGCGAGAAGCCTCTTATAGGCGCTAAATGACAACAATAATACACCATAACATGACTCATCCCCTATATGATAATGGATTAAGAGAGCCAGATGCACCACATAATGATACTTTCTCCTGTCTCAACTATTTAAAATCCCAACTGCAATAGCAGATACATGCCTTTTATTATGGTAAAATACCAGCAAAGAAGCCGTGCAGCAGGAAAATAAGCCATAGATGTCTTGTTCTAGCCTTTTATAACGATTTTAGACCCACTTTAAATTACTGCCCAGTGATGAAGAGCAAGAAAGGTGCTAACATGAACAGAATGAAAAGCAACATTCTGAATGATGCAAATCTCATACTTACCCTCAATTGTATGCTTCCAAGGTGCGGATCTACCCTGAAAATTAAATCCATAGCCAAGGAATGAATCACTTTAGTATTTTCAAAGGAAATAAGAGAAGCAGCGTGGCCAAGCATAAGCAAACCTCGGGAACTATCTTGTTGAGAAATGTCTCCGTATCAGCTCTAACATCTGAGTCGTAATTCTCATTGATGGTAAGTGATGCACTTGTGTGCTGTACTGCAGGACGCAGATGACAAGATTACTTTAGCCCAGTTGGCAGCCAAGTTGAGTTGCCGCGGAAAAAGAACCAGAAAAGATGAAGATGAGGCTTAAAGCCACTTACGGAAGAGATGTGCAAGGCCACACTTGAATTCTGACAAGTCTTGTCCAATTTCCTTCATAATCTGATATTCGATTGCGTGACCAGAGCACAAGTCAATGTTGGTGGTGACAATACAAACACATACAGTATGGCCGAAACAACTTTTCAACAAGATGTAACCTTTATAATAATAATAATCCACAAGCAGGAACAATAGTCCAAGCGATCAAAGCCATAAGTAGAACACATCAACAATTAATTTAGCAGAATGAATATTTGTCCACACAGGAGGAATTACTATGAAATATGAAATGTCTTCAACATAACATTCCCGCTAATTGAATGCATGAATTACTGTGCCAACAGCGCTAGTACGAAGTAAACCAAAATTGAAGGAAATACAGCTCCACGGGCTGCAGTAATGAAACCTTTCACTTAGCTTTTTATAATATAAGAGAGAGAGATATAGATGAGCATGTCGAAACTGCTCTTTGCTGCTACGCTTCATGTGCTACAGTTTTCTCCTGTTGCCAACAAATTATTTCGTAGGCAGAAAATGCCACCCTCGGGCAAGGATACTTTGTCATACCCAACTGGAAAAAGATGTCATCCAAATGCATTCCAAGTAATTTTAGTAAAACTAACACCTGAACTGTTACCCTTTTGCTTTTGCGGCGATACGAACATATTTAAGTAACTGTCGTTCCATAAGAGTATGATGAAAACGCAATTTTTGTTTTTCTCCCAAACGAAGACGATATTGAGATTGGTTTCTAAGATCGCTTCCGGCTCTAGGCCTTTTACTAGTTAGTCCCGGTCAAGCCCCAAGATAACGAATTGCCATGGGAGAATCTCCATAGCACTTCTTGATTACATACCCACACAAACATAACTGCACTAAACAGAGCAAACGAAACTTCCTTCATTCATGACTATATCGACAAGGCAAAGCAATCCACATACTCAAATTCTAATCACGACAAACAACCACGCAAGAATCTGAGAATCGCGAACAGCAAGCAGAGCAGAGCCAGACGAAGGCTCGATCAGGGTTGATGGGTTACCTACCTTGGGAGTGACGAGGTGACAGCCGCGCCTCTGGGGAGGCAGGGTGATGGTCTTCTGGGCCCACTTGGGACCCGAGGTCGCCATGGAGCTGGGGTCGTTGCCGGCGGCCGTGGACGGCGGCGGATTCGCGGTGTACAGAGCCCTGACGCGAGGAGGTGTACTGGCGGAGAAGAAGAGGGAGGGGGATTGCATGGTCGGGCCCAGGGAAGAGAGCGGCGAGGGCTTTTTCGTAATTACGGAGAGCGACGGTACGAGGAGCAGTGTCGGGATTACTAGAAGAAGGGCACGGACCAGATTTCTCCGGAAATTCGTGTTGGACGGGCTTCGTGGCGCGCCCGAGCCGCTCGTTCCGCTGGCGTTGTCCATGGCCGATTGCAAACGAGTGGCTGCGATTCGGTCGAATAGGTCCGCTCCGGTCCGGTCTTACTAAACGCGTCGAACGACATGAAAAGTAAATCCGTCGAATGGGTGGATCAAGTCGGAAATAAACCGATCCAAATTGAGTCATTTAATCCGTTTAAATCCATTTTTATGCAATACAAATTTAGTGACTCATATTCCGACATTACTCATATTACTAAAATTCTTCCATATTTAACTCAATTTAGGAAAATTCACACCCAAATTAAAGCGAGAGTGTAAAGTGAGCGAGCGCTACATCAAGTGAAGGTGGGAGATGGTGAAGAGAGAGTCATAAAAGTATGTTAAATCTAAATAAGCTGTGAATCCATTTAATTCCCATATTATTTTGGGCTTTAATTTTCTAAACTGATTTATGCTCTATTTACTAAATATAACTAATCCCTATAATAAATCAACCCATTTAATGTAGACTACGAAATGGATCTATGACCTATTTGATGGATCTAAACAAAAAGATAGGCTCGAGCACGATATGGCATGATTAATTCGATATTGCCACATATTAATTTGGTTCTTGAGCTTGGAAGCAATTGAACCGACTGAAATCTTCTATTCCGTTCAAATCATATCGAGGATATTCTCAGTTCAATCGTCTATCCCTTTTATTCCGATCTTTATTTATAATTGAACATAACCAATCATCTATTCATTCTATGTTCCGAAAGAATAATAATAAGAGAATGATGTAAAGAAGTAGCTAAGATAATTATATTTTCCGCTGATTAAATTTTCCAAAAAAAAAATCATGATCTTCTAAATTTTTTTTTTGAATATATATAGTATTAGAGGTGGCGACGTTTTCAGATAGAATCTACGTTGAAGTGTACGTTTTTTTTTAACGCGACTCCCGCGCAAATGAGTTGGGGAGGGGAAGAGAGGTGGAAAGATTGAAGAACATGGCCGAGTCCAACACTCGATCCTCGCTCGTTCAGCTCGGCGCCATGGTTAGCATCTCTCTTTCGGTAGCTAGATAGAGCATGAACTCCTAAATCCCTTCTGTCTTCTCGCTTCCTTTCCTCTTGCCGTGGCGTGGTCGACCCCGTCTTTCACTTTTTCGCCGGCTCCTCGAGCATCACCTGCTCGACGAAATGCCCATGTGAAGCGCGAATGGGAAATGTCTTCGTGGCCCAGTCCGTCGCCGCTTCAGATTTCATGGGCATTTTTTGTTTAATCTGGTAAGAGTAATGGGTGCATGAATTGCATGGTCCTGGGGTTTTAGTAGTCTTATCGTCAATCTTCTAATATGGACAGTAGCTTCTGGAGACTGAAGGGAAGAGATACCAAAAGGAGATTGAATTTGCATATAGTAGCTTGACTTGCTATGTGCACGTAGTTTGGTCCCATTATTTTTTTTCTATAGCTCCAGAGTGTGCGTGCGAGCGCGCGCTCCTATGGACCTTCGTGACCAAGGCTGCAATACTGTTCTTCTCTTTTTTCTCTCTTCTGCGTCGTCATTCCTAATGCTTGCTCTTGTCTATATCACGTACTTCTTGGAGTTTTCGTCATATGGTCGAGCATGTGGGTGTGTGTTCAGACATCTAATACGATGATCCTCTGCAGGTTATACGCTGTCGCACATGTAACATGCCTCTACTATGATTCATTGTTTCTTGTGGAGTGAAAATGATTGCGGGAGCAAAGAAGCTGTGCAGGTCTTCTCTTCATTTTAGCAGCCTCGTCTACAACTTTTCTCCAGTACGGTCAGTCTCTTCATTGCAAAGTTTCGAGGAAGCCTTGAAAGCTGCCATTCAAACCAAAAACTACCAGCATATCCCAGACCTTCTCAATTCTTCCCAAGACCAAAATCCAAAACTCTTATCTTTTCTATCGGATTTCCCCCGGAACGACAGAACCCAAATAATAGATGATATTTTACAGTCTTTTGTCCCTCTCAGACCTCGTTCTAGGCTGCGGACTGCATACTCCTGCCTCCTTTGTTACACCCTTCAAAGTCCTGATCCCTTTCCTCTTGCTCTTAGCATCCTTCAACGTACCCTTCGCTCCGGCTGCAGTCCTGCTCCCCAAGCCCGTTTGTTCCTCTCTTCCGCATGGTTGGAACAGCTATCCCAATCTCGTTCTGTAGCTGATATTTTGTTAGATATGAGATTAATTGGGTACAGTCCGGATACGGGCACTTGCAATTTTGTTATATCATCTCTTTGTGCCGTTGATCAATTAGGAGAAGCAATTAAAGTCCTGAAGGGAATGACTCGGGCTGGTTGTGTTCCTGATTTGGATAGCTACGGTGCAGTAATTGGTGCATTGTGCTCCGCCAGAAGGACTCCCGATGCTGTAGAAATGTTGAAACAAATGGTGAAAGTTGGGCTGACACCTAGGCAAGACACAGTGGTAAAAATGCTAGCGACGTTGCGTGCGACTAAAGAGATTCGGAAAGCAGTTGAGACTATCGAGTTCTTGGAGAAGGAAAATTACCCTCTCAGATTTGAATCGTATGAAAGGCTGGTAGAGGGATGCTTGGAGTGCCATGAACATGTTTTAGCAGGAAAAGCAGTGATGGCAATGACGGCCAGAGGCTTTATTCCTTACATTGGCATAAGGCAAAAGGTAGTTGAAGGTTTAGCTGCTTGTGGGGAGATGGACCTCGTTTGTGCTGTGAGACAAAGATTTGTAGAGCTGAGATCGTAATGCCTTCTGATGGGAGTGAGTGCATATTTCATTTGCCATTTTGACATTGGCACAGTCTTTGTCTTCTTTTTTGGCTGCATAGATCCAATATTACGGCAATTGCTGTTATATTCTCTTCAGATAGTCAACAACGGAAGGCAGGCACCCTCTTTCAGCTGTATTAATTTGCAGTGTATCCTAATGCGGCTTGGCAAATCTGTAGTTTCTTGATAACATACATGCCTATTTGCAACTTCAAAATTATACAGGAAACTATTGTAAAGAGCGGGGCTGAAATTTTAGAGAAGAATAAAGTCTTTCCCTCTCTCTGGCAAGTAAGTCGCAAACTTGAAGTATTGTCTGGTGATTAACTGTTTATTTGGAGTCATGCCATTGGAAAGAAGTAGATTTTCAAAGAGACACGGGTTACAACTGAATGGCACGGCAACTACAGTGCAGGAAAAGATCAGGAATGCACCTGCTCAGCTAGACGACTCTTGACAGTTTCCCTGCTTGTCTCCTAAGTTTGCTGGCTGGTTTAGGTTCGATATCAGAATAATATTCGACTGAAGAAAAAGAAGCTGAATTGGTCATTGTGTAGTTAAAGCGAGCATGGAGAGCATTTAACAAGGCCATTGATTTGTAGGACGATTCAGTTCTTACCTCATGCATGAGCAACATCTGTTATCCAGCCGAGGGTTACAAAGTTGTGCATATTGAATACCAGATAGAGCTCGCATGCCTGTTACGTAAAAGAGAAGAACTAGAATCGAATCGGTGAGAATTGGTTTCACCTGATGAAAATAAATCAGCACCGTGCTCTGGATTCGCTCGAGATAAAAAAAAAAAAGGCTTACATTTCCGAAGTATCTGTGTAATATCAAGATATAATGGTGGATTATATCCGGAACCTCCAGTTCATTGTTGTCTGGATTGATGCACATACAGATCAAAAGGCCAGCATAGCAGACCCACATCATCCATTCGATATGAAGACTGTCTATGTCAAAGTAATGCAGCTAAAATGAATTTCAAGAAAAGACCATCTGGCATGCTTTCTAAAAACAACTTCAGATCCTCTCCGATCAAGAAAGTTGCAAATCTTGGGTTGTTTGGGTCCTCTCGCGTATTTCAGGGCTGAGTTCTATTGTAACCTGAATTTATAAAGTATGAATTCAAGAATTAACGCCAATTTTAGCGGAAAATAGTTTGCTTAATGTTTACCTGCAGTATGATGACAATTAATGTCAGTCAAGCATAGCTCAACATAACTACAAGAAACTTTACCATAGGTCTTGTTGAGGATTTGAAGTAGCAGCAAAACTCGAAATGCAGAAGTAGCAGGACATATTTCAACTTCAACAACTTCAAATTGTACTGAAACTAACATCAGCATCCACACGGTGGTTCCTAAGCCTTGTGTTAAGCGAATTCCACTCATGTTTCTTTGTTGGCCCAAGTGCCAAACCGATGACGTGCTTAGAGTTTGCTAAGCTCTCTCGGAAACTCCTCTTGAAATGCATCAAACGCAAGAATCTTGAATAGTACTCACCTGTAGCAGTGCCAACAGGCCAGCTAACATCAAGAGAAATTTTCACGAGACGAATGCCAATCGTACACTTTAGGCGCTTGAAGTTCATTCTTTGGAACAAGGAATGACTTTCTTGAAATTCGATCATGCATGTGCTGTACATTTGAAGTCTCCAGCGAAAACCAGAATTTTGACAAGCTATGGAGAAAAACAGATACCGGCGAGTATACACACCTTAGTCCATTCACCATTTTGTCGTCAACCTCACTTTCCCTTGCATGTCTATGATAATTAAGCACCAAGTCAATCTGAAATAGAGGAAAAGAAAGTACTATCTTCAGTGCTCACTACGATGTGCGTCACGAATTTGTATACGTTCCAAATTTATCACGCTTGCCAATGACTGATTTTTTTATTATTGTCTCAACAGATTAATTTTGAGGCTTCCAAGATTCAAATTCAACACCGCTTGGCCATGAATTCAAACTAGGGATGTGCAAAACGGACCGTCCAGACTGGACCGGACAGGCCGGTTTGGTTTGGTTCTCGAGAGTGTCGGTTCGATTCCCGGTTCCTAAAAGTGGAACTGGTGTCCGGGTGTTCGTAAAATTCTGCACGTGTCAACGAACGTGTTGAACAAATAATACAATGATGAGAAGAGTATCGTCCCAGACATTCTGCACGTGTCACAGACATTGATGATAATAAACCAATTAAATATTAAAAATAGACTAATTCTAAAATTTATCTAATAGATCAAAATAGAATCGAGAATAAATAAAAATTGACAATTTTTAAAAACGAAATTTTATAAACTAAAGGTAGATAATCAATAAGATAAAATATGTTAGAGCATCCGATTTCACCATAACTACTAAATATGAATTTCGGATCATTATGCATACAAGAACAATATCAAACATGTGATAGCGGAATTTTCTAGTTAATTTATTATCCTATCTCTAGGTATAGTAAACCTACTCAGTTTATCAATTCACTATATTTCTATGTGAATTCAAATAAACATAAGTGCATTAAAATCTGTGAATATTCCCGGTTTACAATGAATATTTTGGATCACCTTATCACCGAAAGCTACAAAAATAACATGGTATATTTCTATCCACATTTAATTCATGGTTATATATTATAATGAGCAATTGTATATTATCACTTCTCAGTCTCAAACATGAATATCAGATCATTCAAGTGGTGGCCAGTCACCTAAACACATTAAGCACAATAATATATAACTCACATAAATGAAATTACTTGCAAAACATAAAAAGCATGAAATTCATATCATTATGGTTAGGCTACGTCGTAGCTCTAACAAAGAAAATTAGAACATAATAGAAGACAAAACGAAAACATCTTGAATCAAAGAACAAGAATTCTGTCACCACTTTTGTCTTCTCTTCAAAATACTTGAAAAACTCTCAGAATACTGAAAACAAAAACGATCTAAAAAAAACTAGCTATTCCCCCAAATTATCTTATTTATATGATAACATCCAAGACTCCTCTCACAAGATAATTGCTTCTTTTTCGCATAAAATTAGGGAATAAATCGCATAATTCCCAATGTGATATCCACCTTCTAACTCTTCTCTGGGTAGCATATTCCTTTCCTTCTTTTTGCCATATTTTCCTTATTTTCACCATATCTCAATATTCTGCATAAACAAGGAAAAATTAAGTAAATAAAAGGAAATCCAAATATATTCTAACAAATATTGCATTATTTATTGCCTAAAGTAGATAAAATAACTCTATGTTTATAGAGTTATCAAACCCCCAAACTTAACATTTTGCTAGTCCTCGAGCAGAAGTAAGATATAAAACATACTCATGCTAACAACCCCCTCCATGACTTCCTTCCATAATTGCTCGAAATCACAATTCAAAGAAAAACACAAATTTCATCCAAACATTGAAATAGATTTATAAGTTAAAACCAATTCTAACTACGTGATCCAAGTGTGTGTGTGAGTCCTCATTTTTTCAAATTATACACAATCCAAATAAATTCACATTGGTATGCAACTCCTCAAAAACTCCTTATAATTATAACTAAATCTCATAGGTTTGCTTTTCATTCCTCTCTCCACTAATGTAAGCTAATCATCCAACCAAAAATCAATAGGACTTTCCTCAGGTTGTAATGTAAGGATGGGCTAACGGTGAGATAATGGTAAATTTAAGCTCAAATCACCCTTGAACACATTGATTTCTAGGATCTAATTAGAGCACATGCCACTATCCCCAATTTCACATCTTCAAAATAATCTTTCCGCCACCACGTATCATCATTCTTTCTCCTTTTTTTTTTTCCTCTTTTTTTCTCTTTTTTTTTCATTGCTTTATGGTGGAGTTCCTCCCTATGTCCCTCCTAATAAAACGTGAACATTGCCAACCCATTGAGTATCCAAAAGGCTCACTCAATTGAAAGTTGGATGGGGAACCATAAAAGCAATTTTTTTTCTTTTTCTTTTCTTTCTTTTTTTTTCTTCTTTTTTTTTTGAAACGATACACTCCAAACAACCATAGCAATCAAATTAATTCCATGCTCCACCCTTCCTCCCAAATTGCTATTATGCTCAAATAAACTTTTATCCAAAAAAAATCAACATGTTCATAGGGCGTGGGACAATGATATAATTTGGCAAAAGTTAAGCTAAAAAAGTATGCGGATGCCAATGAAAGATTGGATAAGAATTATGGCTCAACGGGGTGACTATGGATAAATAAATAGGGTTGGCTTGAAAGGCTCAATCGATTCAAAAATTGCCTAAATCATTTTCTCAGTTAGATGTTGCCTACGATTTCGCCTCAAGAGAAAATCAAACAAATTCTAAGATTTGGGTGAGATCTAAGAAAAGCACATATTTCACATGAATGTTCTCTAGATGTACACACTACTCAAAAATTAAGGACTTTTAGTGCTCAGTAAGTGGATCAACATAATCAGAATCAAAATTAACTCATATATCATTCGCAAGTTTGAACAAAATTTAAATTTTCCTAAGAATCGCAAAAATTCACAACAAGGAATGCAATCATGAAAAAAAAATCATATTTAGCAAAAAAAAATTTAGCAAAAATTTTGTCTCCCCCCAAACTTGAAGGAAGCATTGTCCTCAATGCGAAAAACAAAATAAACAAAAGAAAAATAGGAACAAGAAAACTCCCCTTGCTGTCGGATGTGTCCATGGATGGTCTTGATGACTAAACTCCAAAAAGGTAATCCTTCAAGAAAGAAAATTAACCTGGATAAAAAAAAAATAAACATAAAAATTAATGAAGAAACATAATAAAAAAGCTTGGATTGCCTCCCAAGAAGCGCTTGCTTTATAGTTTTTAGCCAAACTATCTCAGATGTCGCTATTCTGGAGGATGAAGTTCAATAGTGGTCTTCTACTTGTTGTAACCACTTTTGAAGTAGGGCTTCAAACGTTGACCGTTTACCTTAAATGTGCTTTCGGTGTCATGTGCAACTTCAACTGTTCCATATGGAAATACCTGTGTGACTATATAAGGACCAGACCATCGAGAACGCAACTTTCTTGGAAAAAAGTTTAAGACGAGAGTTATAAAGTAAAACTTTTTGGCCAATTTTGAACTCTCTTCTGAATATGTGTTTATCATGCCATCTTTTTGTACTCTCCTTGTACATCTTAGCATTTTCATAGGCCTCATTGCGAAATTCCTCCAATTCATTTAGTTGCAACAATCTTCTTTCACCAGTAAACTGCATGACAAAATTCAGAAATTCCAGTGCCTAATATGCTTTATGCTCTAATTCCACCAGTATATGACAAGCCTTCCCAAACACTAGCCTAAAAGGAGACATCCCAATTGGGGTTTTGAATGCTGTCCTAGAGGCCCAAAGTGCATCATCAAGTTTCATTGACCAATCTTTCCTAAAGGCCTTCACTGTTTTTTTTAAATTCTCTTGATTTCCCTATTTGAAACCTCTACTTGACCACTAGTCCAAGGATGACAAGGTGTTGCAACCTTATGTGTGACTCCATACTTGCTCAAAAGTGCTTCAAACTGTTTATTGCAAAAGTGTGTTCCCCTATCACTTATGATTGCCCTAGGAGTGCCAAATCGCGTAAAAATATTTTTCTTCAAGAATTTGACAACAGCCGTAGCATCATTTTTTGGCAATGCTACAGCTTCTACCCACTTAGATACATACTCCACAGCCACTAAAATGTATAAATTACCATAAAAAGGTGTAGAGGGTCTCATGAAATCAATAACCCAAACATCAAATAATTCACACACAATAATGTTGTTTAAAGGCATCTCATTTTGTCTAGAAATATTTTCAATTCTCTGACACCGATCACATGAAGCTACAAAGGAGTAAGCATCTTTAAAAAGTG